AAGAGATGAGACGTATTGTTGATAAACCTTATGCTTCGGCAATAGGGTCAATCATCTATGCCATGATATGTACGAGGCCGGATGTTGCATATGCTCTGAGTATGTGTAGCAGGTTTCAGGAAAATCCAGGAGAAGCGCACTGGACAGCTGCCAAGAACATCCTTAAGTACTTGAGAAGGACTAAAGGAATGTTTCTAGTATATGGTGGCGAAAATGAGTTAGTTGTCAAAGGTTATACAGATGCGAGTTTCCAAACATATAGAGATGATTTCATATCACAATCTTGATACATTTTCTATCTGAATGGAGGAGCAGTGAGCTGGAAGAGTTCGAAGCAAAGCATTGTCGCAGACTCTACAACAGAATAAGAATATTTAGTTTCTGTTGAAGCAGCTAAGGAAGAAGTTTGGATTAAGAAGTTCCTAACTTAGCTGGATATCATACCAAGTGCTCAAAAGGGAATCGAGTTGTATTGTGATAATAATGGTGTCATTGCTCAGTCAAAGGAGCCTAGGTCACACTTCAAATCCAAACATGTAAAGAGGAAATATTACCTCATTCGAGAGATCATTGACAGAGGAGATGTCAAGATGTGCAAAATTCATACGGATGAGAACATTGCTGATCCACTTACTAAACCCCTTCCACTTCCAAAGCATGAGAAACATGCTAGTGGATCTGGATTGAGGCAAATGATGTAATTAGAAGTTGTATTTATTTTTGGAGAAAAATAAGTTACATATGTAATACACTCATTTGCAGAATTATGTTTAATAAGAAATTTCATTATTTCTCTTATTTAATGATGGTTTTCAATATTAAATAAAATGTCAAAAATAATTATGGATTGATGGGCTCATCAGGTTGATAACCTGATGAATGAAACCCCACAGGTGAACAAAATCCATATATTATTTAAGTTCCTAGTTCGGAATCATTAAACTGGACATAAATGATTTCCAATGAAGGACTAGCATGTAAGATTGATTGGATAGCGCAGTTTCATGGGCTATAGGAGCATAGTGAGGCTCGGTCAATCACATGGATATGCATGAATGATGCATGATCGAACTAATGACCTACTTTGAAGTTCAAGTATAGAGCTTCCGGATATATTAGTGGATTCCTTTGACATGGAGTGGAACACTGATTCCATTCAATGATTGATTTAACTGTGATACATTCAAACGTCCAGCCGTAACTAGGGATTATAAAGGGTGTTTCCCGGTTGCTTCATGAGTTGAGTGGGAGCTTTGTGCCACATGATTGAATTGAGTCTACCTATTTAATTAGGAATGTGTCTTGGCCCCTTGAAGAGGGAGAATTCAGAAAAATGCATGGCCGTGCTCAAATGGATTACATAGTAATCATTTGTTCTGTGAATCTCACTCAGTTTTCAAGAAAAGATTTGTAGACTAATATGATCATGACATGAGATGCAATCATATTATCAAATCGACACATATTAACTTAAGGAATTTGAATATTGCGCATTTGTCTCAGACAAGTGGGAGATTGAAGGAGTTATGTCTTCGATAAGTGCAATTACTAGATATATCAAGGATCACTATTATGGAGATAATAAGTTCATTCTATAAGGTCGTCAATGTTTGGTGCTAGATATGAAAATTGATCTTTGGGCTAGCTTAATAGCCCAAAGCCTTATAGAATGGATCCTACAAGGTCACACATAAGAGTATTGGGTTAAACAAGTTAGAGGCCCATTATTGGGCCTCATGAGTTCATGAAATACCATGTTGATGATTGGGCTTGGATAATTAGAAGAGTCTAATGGGTTTTGGACTTGACATGATTTTATTTCTAGATATGATCTATAAATATAAACCATGCCTAGGGTTGCATGACATAACAATTGACATACAGTAAATTGTCACACAAGCAACCAAGCATCCCAAAACCCTAATTATCTCTCTCTCTACTCGGCCCTCTCTCTCTCTCCTCCCTGTCCGTACGACTCTCCCTTGTGGGCGGCGCGTGTGGTGGCGCGTGGGTGGTGTTGTGGTGTGTTCGTGGCTCGGATCTCCATTGAAGGTTGATTGAAGTGTTCAGTCACGACTAACTAGCATTAGTGGAGGTTTAATCCGTGCTTGTGGACTAAGTAGAGGAATCACACGTGGGGTTCTTGTTCACCTTATTGTTCTTTCGATCACTTGTGGAATCACGCTTCAAAGGTATTATTCTTACTCTTTATGTGTTATGCATGAGATCCTTAGTTAGGTGCTATATGAATATGATTCATGATTATTTCCGCTGCGTAGTACCTATAATCCCCTACAATCTCATCTATTGTCGAAAACATCTAATATCACTCAAACAATTTTTTTTTCACAAATTTCACTTCCAATTTGAAATACCCTTCAATATGGATCGCAATAATTCAAATTACAGGAATAATATGAATTTTCCAAATAATCCAAACTTTCAATATAATCATAATAATCCTCCTTTAGACCCAAATTTATTGAGTAATCTTCATTTTTAAGCTGCTTTGTAATGGTTTAATAGTCAATCAAGACCAATAAATGTCAATAATATTCCACAATGTTAACCTTCTTTCCTTTTTCCTCAAAGTAGCTCTTCATCTCAACAATCTCTTGGTAATATGCCGGGTTTTCCCAATTCTGAACATTTCACTCAGATCATGAATAAATCACCGAGAGGTTTTGGTGGTAGCAATGCAACTCCAATAGAGGAGAGTGGTGATGAACTCCAATAGAGGAGAGTGGTGATGAACATGTGGAGCAATTAGTAGGGGTGCAACATCTAGAAGACATTAATGATGTTGATGTCGAAATTATTTTCGAACAAAATGTCAACACCACCGGGCAAAGGAAAAAACAATCATGGAGCATAGCTGAAGACAAAGCACTTGTATCGGCCTATATAAACACAGGGGGTGACGTAGTGAGAGGAACCAAGACAAAGAGAAGTGGGTTATGGGTTGACATCTAAAACTGCTACAAACGTACTAGAATAGAAAACCCCGATGATATAAAGGTAAGAAACATTAAATCTATGCGAAATCGCTGGGATCATATCAATTTACATTGTAGTAAATGGGTAGATGCATATAAGTATCATTATCGAACCAAGGGTAGTGGTGAGTTCGAGCAAAATTTAGAGAAATTTGCTCACAAAGATTATTACGCAACTGATAACAAGATGTTTTGTTTATTGCATTGTTTTGAGGAATTGAGAAAATATCCGAAATGGGATCCATCTTTGGCCAAAGATCAATCGAATATGTTACCCGATGGCCAACAAACGTCAACCGAAAATGAGGGAAGCGGAAGAAGATCATAACCTGATTCACCATCCGAGGTTTGAGGAAGAGGTAAAAGACCTACTGGCATAAAACAAACAAAGATGAAAGGTAAAGCATCTACTACTTCATCTTCAAGTATAAATCTTAAAGCGTTAAACACAGATTTTAACGAAGTTGGTGATAAGTTGAATGATTTGGGTGGGTGACTTCTGGATCAGTTGAAGGAAAGAGATGAAATTAAAAAAGCACAAGTTGAAAAAAAGAAAAGGCAAAAGGACGAGGCCATGAAGTTTAGAATGTTAGAAAGATTAATGCAGACGCCCGTTTCTTGATGAAGTTGAATTATAAATGTATAAGAAACTTAGAGATGAATTCGGTAGTAAATTTTCGATTTGATTTAATTTACCTGATTGTACCGAGTAATCATGATTTGTTATTACGATTATGAGTTGTATGTTTTATTATTATTGTAACTTTGCAGAATTATTGTCAATGTACCTTTTTAATATGAATGTAATTTCTATGTATTAATATGAACTTTATGTTTACTAAATTGAGTTCAAGTTTGTTAATGTTACTTTGTATTATTGTGATAATGTATAAGATTGCTACCCATGACCTTTCATCTAACCAAAATCTTATCTTCTGAAATCCTTTGTTTTATGACCACATATCAATATCTGAAATCTTATCTTCTGACTAACCTTATCGTTTTTTTGTCTAAATAATTTATCAGATTGCTCCCATAACATTTCATCTAACCAAAATCTTATCTTATGACATCCTTTGTTTTATATGACCACATATCCTTGGGAGAAATCTTATC